GTATGCTTACAACTTCCAGTTCCATTTAGAAGATTGAAAAGGCCTTTTTGGAGTAAGAATGTTTAATTTCTATACAAATATTTATTAATTACGTTTTTGCATCATAAACATTTCTTTAATTGCAATTTATTATTACGATCTTACAGGGCAATTCAGGTGGTCCAATTCATATAAAACACAATTATTATATTTATAATATTATGTTAATATGTTATGTTATAATGACATAAATATAATGTTTATTGTTTAATATCATTAATTATAAATACTAGTATTTTCTTTTTCAATCTATTCAATGTTAATAATGTATAACTGAATCATTTTATTTATTATTTTTTGATGTTGGCAACAATGTTCTTCCAACATGTTACCAATAATATTACATTTTGGAAGAAGTGTTCTACGCCCAGTATTTGGTACCCATATATCGTGATAAAAACATCGATTATCCGATACATCGCGAAATCTGCGATTTTCGCCATCCCTAAATCCTAATAATGGAACCGTAGAATTTTATAATACTGCAAAGTTAAAAGTGTTTCTATTCAGCCCGTCTTACGCGGTATAATAACAGTATTCCTAATTACAATTAATATAAATAAATAAAATGTATAGCTGAGCTATTGTATTGTAAGAAGTAAATTTAAGATTTCTTTCTAGGGCAGCACTGACATGTGCATTCAACATGGCGGATCTAGCGTCCCACAAGAATAATGTCATTTTTTCATACGTGACCATTTCGATTTCGTGGCGGCACGGTGTCGGTTCGAGACATCCAAAATTTTCTTTCGACTTCACGTGCCCATTTCCACGGAGACCACTCATTCGGGACCACTCTTGGAAGACCGATCACTTTCCAAAGACTCCGAGAGTTGTTTACGTTGCAGGACGATCAGAAACGGAAAATGATAGGACCAGACGGAGTCGCTTTGAGACGCTTGCTTAGGGCCCAACCAACCAGCGCTATGTAAGTTGGAATCATTTTCGGGAACAAATTCACTTTAGCTACCGAGCACATTTTTCGAAATATATACGTATTTCAACGAGTTAAAAACGATGGCGCGAACAATTTTGCGGAAACCATTGTTTTGGAAGTTATATAGTTATCCAGAGTTTGCGATTTTACGTTTACGCGCATGCGCGCAACTCCACTTGACTGCCACTTACAAACAATTTTTTTTTTACGTTTGTTGACAAAAAAAAATTGAAAATATGCCTCTGTTTGTCCTGTAAAACCACCTTGGGCAGGCCTCGGAATTAAACAAAGGTTTTATGGCCGGTCTGTTAAAGTCACATAAGAATATTATTGCTGGGTAGCTAAAGCGAATTTATGCCATTTTTTGTAGTGAGTAAGACAAATTCGAAGCTTATCACGCGTCACCTTTGGACTAACGAGTCCATCGTAAAAAATTATATTTAAGTAAAAACGGAAAATCTTTTTGTTATTCCTAAACAAAAATAATATTTAAATTTTGGTACGTGGAGTGTAAAAAAAAAAATAAAAATTTACTGAATAATTAATTAAAAGATAAATTTTTTTTAGGGGGAAACATAATATATACCTCTGTAGGTATATATTATTATATATATATGATTGACGACTCCCTTTTAGTCTAACAGTAATATTTAAATAAAACGACAATTTAATTGACCAAATTTAAGACAGGTTAAACAATACGGAAAAATCTGCCGGTCATGCCAAGCTAATAAAGTTTAAAATACTCATCAGAAACATCCGATGGTTATAACAACCACAAGGTACAACAACAGCCCTTCGAAAATAAATGATAAAAAATATATTTTACATAAATGTATAATAAAACTAACAAGGCTGTATAACTATAAGCATAATAGGATAAATTTATAATTACAAAATAGTAGTACAATATGGTTATAGGTAGTATATTATAATATAATAATAAAATATAGGATAATATAGATTAAATAGACAATAAGATTGGGCTAACCTCAGTAAAAAGACACATTTTTATACAGGGACAGAAAGATCGAGCACTACAAAAGACACATTGCGAGAGCTGTCAGGGCCGAAGACAATTATAGAATATTAAGCTGTCTAATAAAGCTTTCTACACTTACGATCACCGGCCAAAATTTGTTAAACACTGGAATTGGACGAGTAGTAAACAATTTAAGGAGCAGAGGTGGAGCTGTAGGAATACATGCCGCATCACTAGTGATATGGTGGAAAATTATCGTGGAAATAGAAGTGATCAATGAATATAATAGCTCTATTAAAAAACGTAGTTCTTAAGTGCTAAATATTATTATGATAAATTATGATTAACACATAGTACTAATATACATTATATACAACCCACACACACACACAAAAGATTTTGTTCCATTATATTATTATATTAAGAAATTAATCAATTAATTATAATGAGTAACATATTACTATACAACTAACACAAAAAAAAATATATATATAAGGATGAAAAAATTGTCTTTGGCATTTATCTTGCATTTTAATAAAACATCATTTTACAACAAAAATTGTCAATCATTATAACAACTACCAACATCCATTCCTGTCACCTTCTCCTGTAAGCGGGTGTACGCAACACAGTCAATTCAGTTATTTGGGTCAGGCATCCAAAATTGTTCTTATCATTAGGTGAATCTATTTTCTTTTGAATCAATGACAGATTTATTAATTATGAAGCCAATAGTAAAACTATGAGAGCTGATTGTATGTTTGTAACTTACACACTCAAAAACTAATTAACCAATTTTATGAAAATTTCAAATTGTTTTTGAAATGTCAGTACCTATTTATATCATAAGTTAAGTTAGTTCATAATATTCGTTAGTATTCTGGTTAATGTAGGTATCTATTGTGTTACCTACCATACACATATGCTTGTATAAGCAACTAAAAAACTGTTAAAACTGGTAACAATAATGTCCGATTGCTTGTATCTTGTGGGCTTTTTATAATGATTACCTATATAAGTGTTTTTTTGTATTTCATGGCTTTTATTGCTATGTATAGTACATTTTTGACAGCAGTTATGTACAATTTTTGATTCTCTAGTCTTCTGAAATCTATTTTAAATTATAATCTAAGGTCAATATTTATGGAACCAATGCTTGTAGTTAAAAAGTGTTCAATGTAGCTTGTTAATATTATTATTTTTCATATCAACTGTTAATTTAGCAGTACATTTAAGCTGTAAATTTGTTATCACTTGTTCTATACATATCCAACAACCTTCCAACTAAAATTTATCAAAAGAGGAATCACAAATATATGATTTAAAAATATTTTAGTATTACAAGCGTTAGGTATATTGTATTTTACTATTTTGTTTTATCCGTTATAGTATGGGTGACAATTTAGGAAATGAAAAATCTTCTGTATTGGAATTTATCCAAGACTTTTTAATAGCTATGATAAAAATTGTCATATACCTACTCCACAGTCCACACATTGTTCCCAGAAAATGGTACATTTATTGTGCTACTGTGCTAGGTAACTGTATGACCGTATAGACCCAATGTTCTGAATGTTGTGTCGTTTGACGATGTCAATGGCCTAAATTGTCCTAGTGTTTGTATAAATAAATGTATAAAATACCAAAAGGAACAAACATTTTTTTTATTTCGTAATATAACACATTTACAACCTAAATGGCTATTTTGTTTTATGAAGAAAAAGAATGAATGATAAATGTTGAGCATAGAATTATGTATATGGCAGTGGTTATTTTCACGTCCGACGTGAAAGTATTTGTTTTCACGTCCTGCCCTGTGATTGGTCGAATTATTGATAAGAAAAATATTGATAAAGTATTGAAAAACCCGCGTAATTTTGAATTATTAATGAATCATTACTTAAATTGAATTATTTACTAACCAGTTATTTATTATAAAATTCCCAAAGTCTATTTTAAAGTTTACACCAATCAATTGTATTGTACCTATTATCTATCTTGATAAAATGCTGTCATGTTTATTGGTTACCTACTGAAAGGGTCGGGTACTAAAAATATTATTGAGTAATGCCCGGACACCTGAAACACTTCGCGCGCACCACTAATCACCTACCGACTCTTGTACACTGTGACGTATGGTGTGTATGTGTGTGAGTAACTCAGTCGGCAGCGGTCGGGATCGCCTCACGAGTACCGACGAGCTACGTAATGTGAATGTGGTGTGTATGTGTGTATTTGTGTGGGTGTGTACTTATAATTAATAATGACAAAAGGTAACTCTGGTAAATAATAGGTAACACGGTTGCTGGTAATAAGTTGCTGTTGCTGTATAATACACGATAATAATAATTTCACAAAAATATAAAAATCACAGCAACACCAAGTATAAAAATATAGATAATAATAATGTACGGCCTCCTTGGCACGACAGAATATAATAATATAATAATATAGTAGGTAGTAACAATATATATAATAACTCACAATTTTGTGGAGCGCAGACTGGCCAGCTGGTCCTAGCTATATAATGAATAAAGGTTTCACACACACACAAGATAAAAAAATATAATAATTTTGGCGATTCGCGCCTTGACAAATACAATAATAATAATTTTACGTGGCCCTTCTGGCCCAACAACTAGGTATAAATACGCCGCGACGATCAGCGCACGCGGGTATAAAAACAATAATAATTTACGCGGCGATTAGCGCCAACATAATACAATGTTTTTACTGGCAATTCGTGCCGACAAAAAACTATAACATAATTTATAAAACGGCGATTTGCGCACGTAATAACAGGTGTTTCGATTCACAAGGTATGCAAAACTGTACTGCCGTATTTGCGGCGGCCTATGTTGACCGATACCGCGTCGCGCCCTAATCTACATATTATATAATTCACAGCTGACACAATCATAACAAAAATAAACAATAATAATAATCCTAATACAAATAAAACAAATAATATTATGTGCGTGCGTGAATGTGTGTGTGAGCCGGTCGGTGGAGGGATATATGGCGATACGGCGGCGAAAAGCATTATTTGGCGTCGACATCCTCCCCCCGTTGAAAATCTGATTTTTCAACACTTGAGTCATCATCATGCACTGGAAGGCAACATAGTTTCACTGTTGGTCGACGCATTTCCACTCCACTTGCCATGCGAAGAGTTACAACTCGAATAACTCCGTCCTTACCCGGATGAAGCTGAATGACTCTTCCTAAATTCCATTTGGTTGGATGATTGCTTTCTCCTCTTATTATCACTACGTCATTTATCTGCATTGGTCTTGTCCTGCATAACCACTTACCGCGCACTTGACACTGTGGCAGGTACTCACTCTCCCATCGTTTCCAGAATGTTTGCATCAGATATTGTACCCTTTTCCAACGCCGTATACCATTTGGCTCGGCTTCTGTGAGATCATTTTCAGGTGGTAAGAACATGGGCCCACCAATTAAAAAGTGCGCTGGTGTTAGCGCTTCTAAATCAGACGGATCGCTACTCAGCGGTGTCATTGGTCTTGAGTTTACACAGGCCTCTATCTGGCATAATAACGTGCTGAGTTCTCCTAGCGTGAGCCGTGTGTCCTTCATTATCCTTGTGAGATGAAATTTTGTGGCAACGGTTTATCCCAATCCATTTTCTCTGCCCACATCTGTTGCAGAAAAATTTTACCTTTTATCAGCACGGGTGTCAAAAACCCAAGAGGGTCAAAAATCTTATTGAGATCTGATAATATCACTCGCTTAGTTAAACATTTCGGTTGTAAAGTGGGGGATATAGTAAAAAAGAATTGATCTAACAGTGGCTTCCATTCCAGTCCTAACGATTTCACTATTTCTCCGTCTCCTATCTCAAGTGTAAACAACGTATCACCTTCACGTTTACCCATTTGTTCAATTATATCTTGGGAGTTTGAACACCACTTTCTCAGTGGCATTTTTGCAGAATCAAGGATCGAGTTCACCTCTTTCTGAATTTTACAACAGTCCTCCACACTGTCCGCGCCTGTCATCAAATCGTCCATATAAAAGTCACGGAGAATAGACTTTGACGCTTCGGGGTATTGTTCCTTCGCTTCTTCTGCCAGAGCAACTAGGCATTGTGTAGCCAAAAACGACGCTGGTGTCGTTCCATAAGTCACAGTCGTCAATTGATAAGTACGTAACTGCTCTTTCGGATTTTGTCTCCACAAAATCCGTTGCAGATTCCAATCATCCTCTGAAACGCGTACTTGACGAAACATTTTTTCGACGTCGGATGTTATGACGTATTGGTGTTTTCTAAAACGCGTGAGTATTCCGAATACGTCCTCTTGCACGGTAGGACCACATTTCAACACCTTGTTGAGCGATAGCCCTGACGAGCTTGTGGCTGACGCATCAAACACAACTCGGAGCTTGGTTGTCAGACTTGAGCTTTTCAGGACTGCATGATGTGGTAGGTAAAAGGATGGTTTTGGTATCACTAGTTCATCGGCGACTTCTACCATATGCCCCATTTCAATATATTCGTTGATGAATTTTGTGTATTCCGTTCTAAGCTTCTCATCATGCTGTAATCTGCGTTCCACACTGAGGAATCGGGATGTCGCCATGGCCAACGTAGATCCCAACTCATTCACCGTGTCTTTCCTTGGCAGACGTACTACGAACCGTCCCTCTTCATCTCTGTATGTGGTTTGATTAAAATGTTCAACTGTTTCTGCCTCTTCCAAACATCTTTGATTTTCCTTCGATAGCCGCCCGAAACTGGAAGCCTCACCGGCCATAATCGCCTTCCAATCTTCCTCTAAAGATTCGCCGACTGAATTAATTCCAGCTAAGGTCACTACTCCTATTTCGCCGGTCACTATCCACCCAAGATTGCTGAAGTTCAAAACTACATTCTTGACGTTTAATGGTATCCGAGGTACAGTGGTTGAGAACACATCAAAAAATACTCCACCACCTATTAATAAATCAACTGTCCCTGGATTTTGAAAGGACGGGTCTGCTAGTTGTGACATCAAATCATCTGGAATTTGCCAACCCTCTTTTGGCGTTTCACATGATGGTAAATTATTTACAATTGTTGGCAACACGTAACATACCAATTTAACCCAATAATCACTCAGTCTTGATTGAACTGAGACTTCAACATAGGATACAGCTCTCACTTGGCTCGCCCCAAGGGCGTAGGTAAATTGAGTCCCAAATAAAATTACTGTTTTTCAAAAGCGGTGAATCGAGTCCCTTGTATAAAAGTTAAAGCGGTGAATTGAGTCCCCTGTAAAAAAATGAAAGCGGTGAATTGAGTCTCTCGTATATTATTAGACTAGTTTTCAAAATTACCTATACGTATAATCGCGCGTGCACCATTAGTTATTGCGAGCATATAAGCACATCAATGTCGCGTATTAATAAAATACTTATCTTATCGTTTTTAGATGCGATTACTGTAGACTAGTTTTCAAAATTACCTATACATACAGTCGACAGTCGTGCACCATTAGTTATTGCGAGTATAAAGCACATCTATATCAACATTAATAATGGACGTAATGAAAAGTGAACGTAATAAAACAATTTTTATTTCTAATGGTTACAAATTTCGGTTCCATAAAATGTTAAAGAATGAAGTTCAGCGGTGGACTTGCTCCTTAAGTACATGTAAGTGCTATATGAAAATCAATGATTCAAACACAGTTATTGATAGTTTTGAAGATCACAAACACAATAAACCAGACGAAAAAACTTTGAACCGGCAAAAACTTAGCAATAGTCTCAAACGAAAAGCTGTCGAAGATATTTCAAGTAAGCCATCCAAACTTTTACATTCCGAATTACAAAGAGAAAACGTAAATACATTAACTTTGTCAGATACGACTCTTATTAAAAGAAATATACGAAATATTCGATCAACTATCCACCCTAATTTACCAAAAACTGTAATTGAAACGCATGAAGTTATTAATAAAATAATAATTAAAACAAATACGGACGAACCCTTTCTAATGGTTAATGATCACGATAATAATATTATCGGATTTTCAACAACGTCCAACTTAATGGTTTTATGTGATACAAATACGATATACGTTGACGGTACTTTTAAAAGTTGTCCCAAATATTTTTTACAAATCTTTACAATTCACGCACTTGTGAATGAAATGTATGTACCACTAGTTTTTTTTTTATTGCCAAATAAGGAAACCAAATCTTATTTTTATTCTTTTAAGTATACGATGGACCAGTGTACAATTGTTGGTTTAACATTTTCACCAAAATATATTTTTATTGACTTTGAAAAATCTATACATAATGCCGCGCAACAAGTTTGGCCAGCAATTAATATTAAAGGTTGTCGTTTTCACCTTGGACAAAGTTGGTGGAAAAAAATACAATGCCTTGGCTTAAGTACAAATTATAAAAAACGAAATTCGGAAGAAAGTAATTTTTTAAAAATTTTTTTTGGTTTACCATTTTTAAGACCGAACGATGTTTACGATTGTTTCATTGAAGATATTATGCCAAAGCTTCCTGCAAATGAAAATATAAAATTATTCACCGATTATATTTTAAAAACATACATTGCATCAGATTCTACATTCCCGCCTAATCTTTGGGCTGAATTTTCGACAATATCTAATCGTACAACAAATAGTTGTGAATCATTTCACGCAAAGCTGAATAGTTTATTTTATACTTCACATCCAAATATTTATATTTTTATTGATGCACTCAAAGAAATCCAATCTAATACATATATTCAAATAAGAAGTAAAGAGCTATGCAAAAAATCAAAACACAACATAGAAAAGGAGAATATATTAAGAGAACAAATGACGAAGTACAAAAATAATGAAATTAGTAGACTTCAATTTATTAAGCTCGTATCATTAAAATATTTACCCGTTTAATATCAAGAGTATTATTTATTATTATATTAACATTGATTACCCATTATTATTATTATTGACAAAATTAATTATTATATGTATTATGTATTATTCATTTAAAAGTTGACATTGATTACCCATTATTATTATTATTGACAAAATTAATTATTATATGTATTATGTATTATTCATTTAAAAGTTGACATTGATTACCCATTATTATTATTATTGACAAAATTAATTATTATATGTATTATGTATTATTCATTTAAAAGTTGACATTGATTACCCATTATTATTATTATTGACAAAATTAATTATTATATGTATTATGTATTATTCATTTAAAAGTTGACATTGATTACCTATTTAATAAGCATTATTAATTTACTAGAATAAATATTTTATAAGGGACTCAATTCACCACTTTCATTTTTTCACAAGGGACTCAATTCACCGCTTTCATTTTTTTACAGGGGACTCAATTCACCGCTTTAATTTTTTTACAGGGGACTCAGTTTACCTAAAAATAGTAATATAGGACTCAATTTACCAAATCCGCGCCCCAATACCACCGACTGGTAGGTTGGACTTTTTACATTCTAGTTGCAGCGACTTGGCGAGGTTCCCTGATATAAAATTCACCTGTGAGCCGCTATCAAGTAGAGCTCTACACTTACGCTGATTGCTTCGCCTATCAGCAACAAGGACAACTGCAGTTGCTAAAAACGTGTAGTTTTGTTCTAGTCCATTAAAAGCGGATGCAGCTGCCGACACGTTTGACCTCTCTGTTGTAGTCCGTTCCCTTTCAGTGGTTTGTTGAGGCTCTGGAACCTTGTCGAAGTGCAACAGCGTGTTGTGCCTTCGTCTGCATATACGACAACCATAAAGAGATTTACATACAGTTGCCATGTGCGTTGGAGAAAAACAGTTAAAACATAATCTTGAGTCTCGAACCACTGTGACACGATCTCCTATTGATAGATCTTTAAACTTACTACATGCGTATAGCTTATGTGGTTCAGAGCAGCAGCTGCATTTTATATCATTGGGGATTGAGGCTATGAGTCCTTTTCTTGTAGCTGTATGATTAGACGTCTTCTTCATAATTGCGCTATTCGTCGGATATCTTGCTTCCTCACCCTTTTCATTAGCATCTAGTGTTTCGGAGCTCTCAAATGCAATACAACGACTTGAGATGAATGCTTCCAGCTCGATGTATGTTGGTAAATCTGTGTTAGTTCGACGCAACTGCCATTCATGACTTGTGGTCTGGTCTAATTTCCTCAGAATAATTGTTACGAGCCATGCGTCCCAGTGTTCAATCGGTTGGCACAACGACTCAAGTGCGGCGATATGAGTTGAAACACATGAATGCAGCTTCTGCAATTCGTTCGCCGAGGCGACCTCTACTCGAGGTGCGTCGAGAATGGCACGAATATGGGACTGAATCACTAAGCTTTTATTGTCGTATCTCTGTTGTAGCTTCCTCATAGCTGCTTCATAGTTAACTTCCGTGATCGGTATCCCTTTGATAATGTCCAATGCTGGACCACCTAGTGCCAATCGAAGGTAAGAGAATTTCTGAGCTAACGAGTAATGCTCATTATTATGAACCATTGCCTTATAAAGGTCAAAGAAGGAATTCCACTCCTGTATATTACCGTCAAATTTCGGTATTTCAATAGGAGGAAGCCGCGCTTGTTGAGGGTGCGGAACACTAGCATTTAATGAATTATTACTCATCGACGAGTTATGCGACTTCTCCTGGTTAATCATTTCTTGCATCTCCGAGCGAATAGAATAATAATCATTTTCAAAGGCTTCTCTAGCCTGCTCAGTCTCCTCGAAATTGTCAACATCAAGAAGTTCAATTTGACATTGTATCTCATCGAATTTCCTGCTGATCTGCGGCAATTCTTCCTGCCTGAATTCCACTAATGTAATAGCTTGTTCTCTCGGATTAAATGTGTTCATAAAGTTTCGAACTCGTGTTAACGAAGCCTTTATAACACCTCTTTTTCTCTTTAGGTCAGTTAAGACCTTTTGATCGCTCTCGTCTAAACCCATATTCAACGTGAACTAATACAATATCACGTATTAGAATGAATACTACTCTCAATACTTTGGGTATCTGATAAAATTTAATTTGTAATTGACACTGTATTACACATTTACTCATATGTACCTACGATAAATAATAATAGAACCTATAACAAGAGGTGAATGACCTAGTACTTGAATATTATGATATAATATCGACGACCGGTATTTAGATTATGTGAGTTAACGGTTCTCGATAATAATATTTATAATATGCAAAGAACTGCGCAGATATGAATAATTAATTAATTACAAATAACAATTATTACGTGATAATGAGTATAAAGTGTGATAGCAATGACGATCACGTCGAGGTCACCAAAATGAAAGGGTCGGGTACTAAAAATATTATTGAGTAATGCCCGGACACCTGAAACACTTCGCGCGCACCACTAATCACCTACCGACTCTTGTACACTGTGACGTATGGTGTGTATGTGTGTGAGTAACTCAGTCGGCAGCGGTCGGGATCGCCTCACGAGTACCGACGAGCTACGTAATGTGAATGTGGTGTGTATGTGTGTATTTGTGTGGGTGTGTACTTATAATTAATAATGACAAAAGGTAACTCTGGTAAATAATAGGTAACACGGTTGCTGGTAATAAGTTGCTGTTGCTGTATAATACACGATAATAATAATTTCACAAAAATATAAAAATCACAGCAACACCAAGTATAAAAATATAGATAATAATAATGTACGGCCTCCTTGGCACGACAGAATATAATAATATAATAATATAGTAGGTAGTAACAATATATATAATAACTCACAATTTTGTGGAGCGCAGACTGGCCAGCTGGTCCTAGCTATATAATGAATAAAGGTTTCACACACACACAAGATAAAAAAATATAATAATTTTGGCGATTCGCGCCTTGACAAATACAATAATAATAATTTTACGTGGCCCTTCTGGCCCAACAACTAGGTATAAATACGCCGCGACGATCAGCGCACGCGGGTATAAAAACAATAATAATTTACGCGGCGATTAGCGCCAACATAATACAATGTTTTTACTGGCAATTCGTGCCGACAAAAAACTATAACATAATTTATAAAACGGCGATTTGCGCACGTAATAACAGGTGTTTCGATTCACAAGGTATGCAAAACTGTACTGCCGTATTTGCGGCGGCCTATGTTGACCGATACCGCGTCGCGCCCTAATCTACATATTATATAATTCACAGCTGACACAATCATAACAAAAATAAACAATAATAATAATCCTAATACAAATAAAACAAATAATATTATGTGCGTGCGTGAATGTGTGTGTGAGCCGGTCGGTGGAGGGATATATGGCGATACGGCGGCGAAAAGCATTATTTGGCGTCGACACCTACTAATCTTCAAACATTGAAACATTTTAATCCAATTTTTTCCAGTTATTCAATTAAAATAATAATTGCTGAAAACAATCATATTTTATATATAGATAAATTATAGATAAATTGTGATTTGTGAAGACCATATTATAAATAAATTACGCGGGTTTTTCAATACTTTATCAATATTTTTCTTATCAATAATTCGACCAATCACAGGGCAGGACGTGAAAACAAATACTTTCACGTCGGACGTGAAAATAACCACTACGTATGTATATATGTACAGACAATTTAATTTTTTCCACAACTTAATATATTATAATAATAAATGTTTGGCTTCAAATACAACAACAAAACACGTTTACTTTCTTATAAATATTGAGAGTATTTTATTTACTAAACTTATAAGATTATATTTTATCCATGAATAATGAATATACTATATCTCAATTTGTGGTAGACACTCGGCATAGTATGTTGACAGCATTTAATGCTGAAACTGTCTGCTAAGAATTCTGATTCTTTAAATAATTATATGTAGTGGTATACGCATCAAAAGTTTAGGAAAGAATGTAGTTTACTTCTCAAATGATTTTACAGAACATTTTTTTTGGAAATGTTGGTATTTTTATACCCAACGTGTTGGTGAAATCAGAATTTACATAGGTATCTTACTTAATTTTTAACACTTTTTAACAAAAAAAAAGGTAAATTATGATTTCATCAACATGTTGAGGATAAAAATATCAACATTTCATAAAAAAAATTCCAAAAAATGAGTGTCTAGCAATCCGTCACTAATGACTCACAAATGTTGCAAAGTGTCTATCATTCATCACCGGTATAAGGTGATAACCCACGGAGAGATTTACCTTTTATACTGTGAGAAGTAACCTAAATGCCATAATTAGTTAGTAGTTTGTAGTAACCATGTTTTGGATATCTGTATTGATTCATTTTTAAGGACACTAGTTTATTATGATTAGGGCTAGGATTTTAATGCCCTAAAAAATTTCAAAAAATGCAAAAATGACTTAAAAAACTCAAAAAATGCATTTAAATTATATTTATTATAGGTTACAAAAAATTAGAAAAAAAATTTTAATTATGCTACAGTAATGTATTTTTTTTTTTTGTTTATTGTACGTTGTTACTTCTTTAGTTTTTTTATGCATCTGTTTTCTTAATCATTCATTCTATTAGTCAAATCATAATAGTAAACGGAGATAGTTGATTTTCATTTATAAATTGCATTGTGGATAGGTACCTGTTGCAAGCGGTGCATTGCACTGGGGCCTCGACTCTTTGAAATATTTGGGGTCCCCGATATTATGGATATCGAGTGCTATAAAATAAAATTGGTACCTACTTGGTAAAATGTATATTTTGTTTTTTCAAATGGTGTATTTAATTAATTTTACTTTGAAAGTATATTTAATTCATTCCCATCAGTGGTGAATTATAATTGTGAATATTTGATTGATTAATTTGTATATTTTATTTTTCATACACATTATCGTGTTCGCCGATACACAATAAAGTAAACATCTACGCCGCGTTGCATTACGCGAAGTGAGACTGAATCCAAAAATAGATGTATTGAACATTTTCTAATATAATATAGTATATTTTATAACATTTTTAAATTAGGGCCACCAACATTTTTTTTTGCACCGGGGCCCCAAGAGTTCAAGATCCGTCACTGCTCGGGAAATGTGTTGTGCAACGGTAAATTTTTTTTCAGAAGCCACTTTTATTTCACATATTTTGCAAAATAATATTTCACCGTCTGTAGAAAAAATGTCTTTACCGAATTCATTCGCATATTATTTCGTTAATCGATTTGATTTCGACGTTTTTACTTTCGGCACATTGAACTTATGAATCACACGAAAAACACGACACGACGAAACACGGCGACGAATGCTATCGAGACTGCGACGACAGACGTACTAATCGGTTACTAATTCAGTAACAGTTATCTAAGCCTAGCCATGATAAAATCGTTATCGACGATAACTCGTACCTATGTGTGTATATAATATGTATGGTGTAATAAAAATAATAAGTAATAATTATAGGTGATAACTGATAATTTTCGGGGAAAAGCCTAGCTATGATGAAATATATGAACATTCAACATTTCAACATTATATTATGATACTGTAGTAAACCGACGGAGTCGCTTTCTTATAATAATTATACATCATAAGGACTTTCCACTATATGATACATTGATATTGATCAACAACTATAAGATGCCCTGAGGTTTATTACTTACCTACTTCAATAACGCCATTAGAAATCGCATAACGATTTCTAATATGCATATTGCAGGGACTAAAATTGTGGTAGTACGACACACTTTGTGTAGTACGAAATACTAAGTGTGGAATACGAAATTAAAAAGTGTGTAATGGCCTGTAATAACTACTATACAAGCTTTTTTTTACACTTTTTTCTTCATTAATTGAAAAATTATTTGATGTTTCGTTGGGAAATAGATAGATAAGAATTTTAAGTATTAATAATAATTATTACTTATTATTAGGAGTCGATTTTACAAATTTTACTTACAGATACAATATTTAAAATATTACAAAATAAAAATATTTCGTATAATCGATACAAATTACAAATAATTATCAAACAATAGTTACTGAATGTATTTACCTATATTTTTTTAAAAGAACCATTAACATATTTAGTATTTACCTATGTTGTTTCAAATAAAAAACAAAATAATGTTATTGTTAAATGTTTATGTTTGGACACTGTTTATTATACAATCATTTTTTTAATGATAGCTATTCCTAAACCTTGTGTTTATTTATAATTAAATATAAACAATGTGGTAATTACATTAATAAGCTTTTAAAAAACATTTAATCAATCAATTTCATGTGATTTTATAAGTAGGTACCTAATATTGAAGTCTGGAATGTTTTTTTCCTAGAATCCGGGATTTTTATTTCGCAATTCATTGTCTATAATAGGTATTGTATAGTATTAATATAGTTCTGTGCATTTATTGCAATATTATGTATAATACCGAATTAATTATCGTACCAATATACGAACATAAATCGTTAACTTGCGATGTAGTCTATACTCTGTAGATAAAGAAAAATAGAAATTGATTACTCTATATGTTTTATGTATAGATTCAATACCCTTTTTTTGGTGGGGTGGCAAAGCCCCTCGCGGTAACTAAAAGTTAATATAAAATGTGTAGTACGAAAAAAATTATATTTTAGCCTCTGGCATATTGCCGAATAAACCAGTTCTCAACTCAAGGATTATTCGAAAACTTTAACATTTACGTCGGTACCTTTCGAAACCGCCGGTATCCCTTTGATCCACCTCCTAGTCTCTACCGTGTACCTATTGTTACGTGCCAACTACTGTAGCAGATGAAATGTAGGAAGTAAATTGAGTAACTCCTCGATGATGGTAATGATTTGTATTTATTTATGCAAACAGTTATTATGAAAAATATTCCAAGTCCAAATAATGACTTAAGCGAGTTGTGACTGCTAGTATTTAGATAGTGACTGTTAAGGTTGAGGCTTGTCCATCAGCTTTCCTCGATGGGTCTCTCCAGTCCCATCCACAGATTCACATGACC